ATACTTATGCTATAATATTCAAGTATATACTTTATATTTATATACATATATCTATATTATGTTATGCATAATATATACATATATATATAATTATATATATATGAATAAATAGTGAAGTCCCTCTTAACTTAAGTGAATTTCAGATTAGATGAATTACATACAATTATATATGTCGTAAATGTGATGATTTTCAAGGAAAAAACTTGGAAAATTCATGAATTAAATAATTTGTATACATAAGAAACTGAAAATATAAAAGTAATTTTTTTTTTTTTTTTGAATAATACAAAAATATACACAAACAGTCCCTCCTGACAAGCATTTTATTCATGTATAAAGCATACAATATGTAGTTCTTTGAGCAAATATAAACTTGTTATATATAATGTACTTGTATATACTCATATAATATCTTATATTTGTAAGATGTGTGTGAATATATGGTTAAAATATTGATGGTTTGTATTAATAATTGCATTAAATGTGTTGTAATGTTATACGGTCGGAAATTTTCTCTTCATATATAGTACTTACTAAAAGTATTTCTTATTTCAATAATTTATTTTCGAATAGTATTGCTATTCTATCTTTCTGACGTGTATTCTAATAGAACAAGGAAGAAAGATTAAGATATATTATATGTTAATTTGTTTTGCGATTCACCTGTTAAAATATCTACCTTCAATATTAACGTTAATAGATTAAGATTGGTAGCCAATTTATCATTATATTGGACTAAGTATATATATTTTCATGGATTTCATATTCCAGATATGAAAAGTTTATGCAAATGTTGAGATATTTGTATAATTAATGTATAGTACATATTTGAATATTTTATATAATAAAATGAAAATCAAAAATTTCTTGAAAATATTTTTGTTAGCAAAAATTCTTAAAATCCTTATTATGCACTATTTATTATATATATACTATTTGCTATGTTATGAAAATTAAATATATTTTAATAAAATGTTGAGATTGTTATCAATGTGAATTAAATCATGGTAAATTGTTTGTATTATAAATTAATTGTTATGCTTAAAATTTAAATGTAAAATATTTTAAAGATTTCGAAAATATTTACTTTAGGGTGAATTTTAACCATCATTTAGAATTATTTAAATAAGTTTTAAATTTAAAGTTTTAAATTAGAAATAGTTAAGTTTGTTGTTAAAGTTGGTGGAACTTAACATAATTAATATTGTTCTCTACTAAATTATAAATGTTATTCTTGAAGAGTTTCAAAAATTTCTCAATTTTTCTACTTTTGTTGATATTGATTTTCATGAAAATATAGATGAAGTATCCCATATGTATAGTTTTAGTATACAATAAATTTATATAGAAAAATGTTGATATTAGATATGGCAGAATATAAGATTTAATTTAAGTTCAGAAAGCGCAATATTAGAGAAAGCCATATTTTTGTATAATTAATAAAAAAATCGTAACTGGCACAATATCGAATAAACAACAATGAACAACGTGCATTAACAACTATTAAAAATTCATTCGATAAGGTAGTTGGTAGCATTGCTCCGGTGATTTTAACTGTGTTGTCGCCTTATTAAATTTCCCTGTGGCATTACTTGTGCTTAGACAGACAGCAAAATTTTGCATCATGTCTCTAAATTCGTCACTTATATTCAGTAACACAAGTTTTGGATTTTGTCACTTTAAAAAATGCACGCTTTCTTCTATAAAATTGCAATAAAAATTTTTTTTGTTTTTCAATTTTTCACATTTACTAAAATCGACTATAGAAATAACAGTAATTATTTTTTTCTTCAAAATTATTAAAATTATTCCAATGAAGGGAAAAAATTCACATGGATTTTTAAAATTTGTAAAAAAATTTACTATTTTTATTTTTATCTGTTTTTTTTTTCAACAATATTTATTAAATTTTTTCATAACCTTAAAAAATTATTTCTTTTTTTTTTAACAAATTTAATGGCAATTAAGTTTTTGTTTTGTTACCTATTGTTTTTTGTTTTTATATATTCTTTGTTACTTGCACATTTTCGTTACATTTCAATAAATTTGAGCTCAAAAAGCAACAATTTTTTACCGACCGCAGTGCATACAGTAAGGGAGGTTATGTGATGGCACTAAATTTCACATGTGCAGTAATTGGCAGAAATAGGTTTCTCCATACTGAAGGGAAGGTATATAAACTATTTTTAAAGAGATGTCGGTATGTCTGTGTATCTGTTTCTCAAATTCGGCTGAACAAAATTTGGTGAAATATTATGTATGAATATACTTTGAAGGTGAAATGGTTTGTTCAATTTTTTAATATGCCAAGTCTGGTGAATTGGATCTTTAGTGGGGGCTAATTTTACATTTTTGATCATTAATAAGAAGATAATCAACCCATTCCATTCAAGTTTAATATTTGGTTTTGTTTGATAATTGAAGCAACTGACAAACCTTTTAAAGTATTGCTATTAGCTAAATTGGCATTTTTCTAGGCATGATAACTAAAGCTATACTAGCGTCCTTAAAATTTGAAAGAAGTATTTAAAATGCATTTTCATTATCTTCTCTAACATTTTAACTAAACTGGACAATACACATTGCGGTCGGTTATGCGCTGACCACAACAGATTTTTTTCTTATAGCAATTTAAGAAATTTTTTCTTTTTAATAAATTTAAAAAAAAAATTTTTTTATTATTTGTTAATCTTGACAGAGAGTAGCCAAAAAATTATTTCATGGTTGATAGCCGCAATAAAAAACAAAAAAAAAAACAAAAACTTGTATTTTGTATAAAAGACAAAAATCATCATTTTTATTAACAGAAAATGAAAGGAAACGAAAAATTTGAACTAAATACTTGGATATAAATTGCAATCACGTTACAATAAACCTATACACAAAATAAATATTGACCGCAGTAGTAGGTAGATAGTTGAAAGAAAATTAAAATTATAAAAAATGAAAATTATTTTTTAAGTTGCACAAAAAACCAAAAAATTAAAAAATTTTTGCCCAATTTAAATTTAATTTTCTGTTGATTTTTCATTGTGCTTATAACAATTTGTATTTTATTTTAATCGAAAATTAACTGTATAGTAAAAATTTGGAATAATTAACCAAGGTTCTGGGAATTTTAAAATAATTCTTTGATGTAATCATGAAATTTAGTTTAGATTTTGTAAGTATATGATTTTCGTGCTTGGATAGGAATGATTAATTTTACTGTTTACGAAATATTATAGAAAAAATAATATTTGAAATATGAGGTTTTTTTTGTAAGGTTTGGAATCAAAGTAGTCAATTCTAATTGCATTTTAGAGAATAATTAATCCTAAAGAATTGTAGGACAAGAAAAAAATATTTTTTTTTGAATGAATTCCATAAATTTGAGTAATATATGCGATTATTGGCCGTACTATAGCTACGTAATTCGTCGTAAAAAAGAACAAATTTGAATTGTTGGAATCGACTAAAGCACCACAGCTTTATAACTCACACAAACAGAAATAAAATAAAATAAGTTTGAAATAAAATTTTTGAACACATTTAATAATTGTGCTGTTACTTGTATATTTAGAATTAAATGAGCGAAATAAGTTTAAAACAATAATATTCTGCATTGCCATTACGTACCTACATTAAATATTACAAATAAATTAAAGATTTCCCTTTCGGAATAAAAAATTTTAAATTTATTTTTGTACTAAGTACACGATGTAAGTTTTTGTGCCAAATAAATAATGTTTGAATTTCGAATATTCTATAAAATATTAATTTATAAAATAAAATTGTATTCAGAAGCAAACATTAAATTCGAAAATAAATTTCATAATACAAAATTATATTTCATGTAACGTATTACGAAATAATTATATAAAAATATTTGATCCTAAAACGAACTATACGTACACATTACGTAGAATTACGAGAATTTAATATAAGAAAAATATCAAAAAATGTGATATGAATAAATTCTGATTGCTACGTGGTTTTCAATATAAAAAAAAAAATTTAACTGTTTTGTACAAAATAACATTATATAATTATAATATATTATACATGATTTGTTATAATTTTATGAACCACAAAAATACGAACATATTGTTCAAATTTAATGTGACATTAATATAAAAGAGTTTAACCAATATATGTGTACGAAAAATTTAGATGTTAATAGAAAAAATATTGTATAGGGATCAAAATAATTTTTATTATAAATTATTATATTGGTATACATACATTCATTTTATATAGGAACTTAGATATGTACATATTATTTCGAAATATTATCAAAGGAATTTGTCGAAATATTGTAAGTTTTTGAACACTTATGTTAATAATAACGTTACGTAAGTTAATAAATATTTCATGATTTATTTGTGCTCTCATACTCATTGATTTATATTCAATTAAATAATGAAAATGTAGCTTTGGATTGTTTTTTACAATAATTTATTGGAAGTGCTTAACGATTTGATAAAACTATAGAAATAACATTTTGAAATTTTAAAAATATTTTATTAATAATGTCCTTAATGAATGCCATTTCACAAATAAGTACAAAATGTGGCCAATTATTAATAAAATTTTTTTTTCGCACAGTTAATTCTAATACGAGTATAACGGGGGGGGGGGTTACAAATCATTGAAATTTTATTAAAAAATTGTTATAAAAAGAATGTCATAATTTTTCTATTCTCTTTACGTAAATCATTAAAAAATCATAAACTATTTATACAATTTGTATAGCATTAATAATAAATTTATATAGAGTGTTTCTAAGCATGATAATCTTGTTGCATTATACATAAAACCACTTTGTGTTTGGCAACTAAATTATAAAATTTTTTGAACCGCAATATATTACGCCATCTATATGAATTGTTTTTTTTTTATTTAACAAACCATGAAAATCTATTGAAATAAATTTTGTATTTTTTATTCTCTACTTTTCTTTATTAAATAATTATTTTTTTTTTTGTGCTTTCTTTCCAAAAAAAACAAAAAATTTTCAGTTGACGGAGAACCTCGTGAGATTCAATTGTGGGTTGCAAATGCTAAAGGTTCAAGTTATATTTCAATGGCCATACATGGACAACAAATTTTCAGGTGAGTTTAGAATTTTTTATTTTTTTTTTCTGAATTTTATGTTCAAAGCATATACATACACACTATCGGTGTATAAAATAGAAATAACAGAGGACTAAATTTTTAGAAAATATTTAAAGGAAAATATTTTACAAAAAATTTTATTTGTATGTAAGTTTACTTATGTATGTATGTATGTATGTATGAATGAATGATGGTGAGTTATACGAATTTAGAAACACGAGTATACAAATACAAGTGTAAAAAAATATGTACGTAATGAAAATATTCGACTATATTAAATTGTGAAAGGATCAAGGACTTTGTTTAACAGATTTTTAGCTGTAATATTTAAATGAAATGACCTTGATGTCCATTGTCCATATCCTGTTGTATAATGGTTTATTTTTTTTTTTGCTTTTATTTTTCCTAATACTTGTATAAATAAATAAATATGTAGATATTTTTTTTTGTAGTATGAAAATTAAAGTAAAATTTATGATAACTGTAAATGTTTTTAACATGTTTTTTTTTTCTTACATGTTGTGCTTGCTGGTGTATATAAAAATATGTAGTATATTATGTATGTATGTATTTAATATGGTTCCTTTGAAAGTGTAAACATTTTTTTGTTAAATAATTTTTGTTTTTTTTTTTTTTTCTTTCTTCTTTTTGATGTGGAAAAATGCTTTTAACTTTGGAAAAGTGGAAAAGTAACAGAGAAAAATAAATACAAAAATCTTATGTTAATTTTTTTAATTTTTCTTGTTCTTCATTTCATTTCGTTTTTTGTTTGTAAAATGTTTAATAAGATTTTATGAAATATTGGAAGAAATAGTTCTTGTTTCGAAATTGCTATACATTATCGTTGAGAATTGAAAATGTAAAAATATTGTTAATTAATAAAAATTGATGAGAAAAATTTTTGAGAAGTAATAATTATGTTTTTAAAATTTAATTAATAAAATTCGATTAATTTACAATTTAAATAAAAAATTGTGAAAATTTCATGAAACAGTTATTTAATATAAAAAATTCTGTTCAAACCAATGATTTATAAGAGTAGAATACTTATTTTCCCACTCATATACTAAAATTTGTATATTGTAACAAATATCATAAAGAATACATACTTTTCGAATAAAAAAAAAATGCATATTTCTCGGATGAAAAAATGCATACTTTTCGCATGATAATAAAAATTAAAGCAAGCATTAACATAATTATCGAACTCGACATCTAAAGAGGCGACCGTTTTGTTTTTAAAGAAATTTCGAGAAGGGAATTTCAAATTCGAAAAAATAAAATTATGAAAATTGAAATTTTGCAAAATTTGAGAAGGTTATAACATGAAAGGGTGTAATTGAGATAAAAAAATTTTTTCTAAGAAAATGAGTTACCTAAAATTTAAAAGCTAGTTACTATTTTTCCACTTTAATAGAATCAAAAAATTTTTTAAATACTTCATCAAATATAATCACTGTACAATTATTTAAAATTGCAATAAAAAATTCTAATCTCGTATGAATTGTTGAACAAATCTTGTTTTTTAGCAATTTTCCAAAAAAAAATTTTTCTTCTTTTTGAAAAGATCATCAAAACTAATTTCTAACAATGCTAATTATACTATTACAACATTGCTTTCATTGCAAATCTTTACTACTATTTAAACTTTTTAATATCATGTTAATTAACCACATATTATATAAAAAAAAAAACTAACAAAACCAAAAATAAAAAACAAAAAAGGGAAAAACTACCAGTCTCTAGCCAATAAAACTTTTAATGATTTTAAAATGATTCCAACTTTTCTTTTTTTCCAAATTAAAAGTTTTTTTTTTTTTACTGCAATTAAAATTATTTTCAACACAATTTTTAAATTTCTCACCTTAAATAAAATTAGTACTTGTGGTAAAAAAAATAAAGTTTTTGGGTTTCCTATATATAGAGAATAATATGCAGAACAGATCAATGATTTAAAATAGAACAATAGAAATAATTGTTGAAAAAATTTTTATTGAATTTCAAATTTATTTTTTTCCCCAATTTTTAAGTAAAAATTATGGGTAAAGTTTTTATTAAAGTTAATGTGTGCATTCCGAAAGGTAGATACAAGAATAATCCAAATTAAATAAAAAAATTGATTTATAATGGGAATAGTAAAAATTTTGGAAATTAAATTTAAAAAAATAATAAAGGTGAAAAATGAGATTTTCAAACATTGAAAATTTGGTATTAAATTTGATATGATGAGATTTTGTAGCGTGTTTGTTATCGAATGCATCTTGGAACTAATTGTACGAAAATCGAACAAAATGGTTTTTAAAAAGGCTTATTTTAGAATTACACGTCCGTTGTTTTGAGTCAGTGTCCGCCATTAGAATTAATTTATAACAAAGTGCTCTTACACACTTTTAAAAAATGAAATTTTTTTAAAATTCTTTACACTAAAACTCTTGTTCCTGTACTAATTTGTCTTTCTTTTAACCATTAAAAAAAGTACACCTGAAAAGAATTTACAAGATCCTTTAAAAAATGGCAAAAAAAAAATTAAAAATAATATTTAAGCAGCTGCACTTAAACAATTATTCCTTTTTTTTTTTATCTAGAACAACATTAAAAAAAAAAAATAATTTTCGCTTTTATGGCATTTTTTTTTTGTTTCTCTTAAAATCACTTTTGGATGAGAGCGTAATTACGACGAATTTTTGTTTTTTACCTAACAAAATTAATACACACATATATATATAGAGAGAGGGTAGAGAAAAACATCAAAAACAAGACATTAAAAAAATTTTCTTTTTTTTTTGTTTCGGTTTTCAAAAACACGAAAAACTTTCTGTCCAAAAGCGTTTATTGAGTAAAAAATGCTGTCATTGTTTTATAAGGATTTTTCCTTTAAACATAGTGGATTTTTAATGTTATGTTTGTGAAAAATATAAGTAATGGGTAAGTAAATAAACAGTGGAAAAGAGTGGAAAAAAGCAACAAAAAAAAAATAAACAAGATGAAAATGTGAAAAAAATATGATGATGGGTTATTGCAAAAATATGTCAGAAAAACAAAAAAGTTATTCACTTTGTTTAGTTTATTCTCTCAAGGACTCTCTGAGTATAAAGAATAACAAAAACAAGCAAAATAAACAACCGGAATAAAATATCAAGTGTAGGTAGAAATAAAGAAACCAAAAACAGTAAGAGAAAAAAAAAGGTCAAGCAGGGAATTGTGAATTGAGAATTTAAAAATGATATTTTTATTTTCTGTTTTTGGGTATGTCAAAATATTTTGTTATTATTTTGTGTTGGCCTTACCTAATGTATATATTTACAATAAAAAAAAATCTCTGTATAATGGAATTGCAATGATTTCAGCTTCTTAAATTTAATTAATGTTTAGATGTAATAAGAAAAACAATATTCGATTATTTATTATTATAAATTTAATTTTGTTGTAATTTAATTTTATTATTATATTAATAAACTGCTGGTATGAGAATTACAGAAAAAATTTTCAATTTTCTTTTATAAAAATTTAAATAACCATATTGTTTATAATCTCACTGGACAGCATTTAAAACCAGTAAATAAATCCTGAGATTGGAAATGCAATAATAGTATGTATAATGCAGAATTCAGATTATAAATGCAAGTTGCTGAATTGTGTCCTGACACGGTATTATTACAATTCCGATATAAAGGGAAATATAAATTTCCTTATTGTCTTAAGGATAATTACAATTTCATATAACAAACTGCAATTATCCTCAAAATTTTCTGAGTAAATTAGACAAGTATCTACACATAATATTTAGAAAAATATTCAGAAAATATTCATAAAATATTCATTTTTGAAAATTTTAACAGAAGCCTGATTTTCCGCTGCATAAATAATGTTTATGTTGCATAAACATTGCAGTTTATGATAAACTGCAATGTTTATGCAACAGAGTTTTTTTTTTTTAAATACATAACACAAATTCTCGATGTAACATGGAAAAATTTTATTCAAATAATTGTAAATTAAGTACATTATAGGCTTAAGATATCAAAAATTAATTTGAAAATACAAAGTAGAAGTATTTACAATGTTATTTTTCTTCACGTATTTTCCATTTTAAGCAAACTAGAAAAAAAAGAATTGAAAATATATGCTTGTCAAAGATTTAAAGATTGTCTGTCCAGTTGTGTGCCTATTTCTCTCTACGAAGTGTTCAATTCTTTAAGAAATATTTTTAAAAATATATTAAAATTTTAAGAAAATTTATGTACGCAAACAAATTTCTAAGAAGCACCTTAATCTTTTGAACGTAATTTAAGCTGCTTTTGGAGGCATTGAAAAGGAAATTTTTTAAAAATTTCCGGAAATTTTTAAAACTATCATGAGTTTTCAAATTCTACAAAATGCTTTAAGATAAAACCTTTCTTTCCTATAATAAAATGGGAAAATAAAATATTATCAGTTTTTTTTTCTTCGGAACCCAGGAAAATTAAAAGAATTTTTTTTATTATAATTTTTGTTTTTTTTGATACACATAAAGATTTTGTTTCATTAATAAAAATTTTTTGTCATTCCTGAAATTATTACGCATATTGCTTATTTCGTTGAAATTGTTAGGGTTACAAATTTTCCGCGCAAGCAATTTAAACAAAACGAATTTGATTTTTTAAACAGAAAGAGTAGTTTTAATTGAATTATTTGGTTTGCTAATTTCTATAATCTTGTTAATAGAAATTGAATAATAGAAATGTGCTAGTTTGCAAACTACATTATTTTAACCCGATTTCATTCCAATCCCTATTTATACTCATATCATAATCTGAGCTATGTGAATAGAATAAACGCATATATAAATGAGAATAAATATTAGTTCCACGTACTCGTTTATTTATGCCAATAGTATGGGTTTTATGAGTATATAAATGAAATAAAAAATAAGAACAAAATCGATGTTATTTTTAGCATAAATTGCAATTAAAAATCATCTAAAAGAATCATCCCCATTTTATTATACAAAAAAAATCTATTGCAGAACACAAATACATGCATAAATCGATATAAAATGCATTAACCTGTAGGGATTTTTAATTCTATATATATAAGATTAAATGTTGATATTTTTAATGCATTATTTTATCCATTGACCGTATAAAACCTTTAAAATTTTATTTTAATATTATTTTTGTATGAGAAATGCTATATATACAGTTCACATATTATTGTTGATTCAATTCAAAAATATTATTCAACTATGATATAGTTGAATAATAGAAAATGTATAATGATAAATAAACCCTATATCGTATAAACAAAGACGCATAAACGCAAATGTGAGGAAGAGAAAAAAAGTAGAAAGTTGTTCTGGTCATCATAGGGTGATAATATTTTAAACAAATGAATTCGATTTTTTTATTTATAATAAATAATTAATGCTTATTAAAAATGTCAGAAAATATTTTAAAAAGGTCTGGGTCAAAAATTTGTTGTGTTTTTGTAAATTTTCTGTAACATTGTCAGCTCATTTTTATGAAATAAACTTAAACGTTTATTAATACGGCCCATTCTTTCCATAAGAAATCTAAGGAGAATTCATATAATGTCTCTTTCTATATTAGAAACCAAAAATTTTTATATAATTCTGCAATTTATGTCAATAGCCAATAAAAATAGCTGCAGAATATGAAAAACTAAAAAGTAAGTTTGAAAATGTATAAAAATAGATTTCTTCGCATTTACACATTATAATTTTAGTGGAAACATAAAAGTTTAAGAGAATCATTTGTTTTTTTTTTTAATTATTATGCGAGAGAAAACTCATCTTTATATAAGTATAGAGAGTATTTTCAAGAGTGTATGACAACCTTGCTTTGTAAACTCATTATTGTCTCAAGTCTCTTTTTTAAATCGAGGAATAAATTAATAATAACCTTTAAACTATAATGTATATATAATGTCCTCAGAGTATAAACTGTTATAAAATATACTTTTATATAAAAATTTGTATATTAAATAATGTAGTAGGTTTTTGTTTTTGTAATGCTTTTTCTACCTCACTTATTTTTATTTTGTATATAAAAACATTAAAACCATTCCAATTTATATTTATATTTAAACAATATATGTATATGTATATATATACATGTACATAAATAACTTACACATTATATTAATTTATTTTATTTCTATTTATATTTTACATATACATATAAATAAATTTTTATATATGTATAGATTAAATTATCCTCTTAAAATGAGAAAATGGCATCATGTTTGTTCATCATGGAATGGAAAAACTGGTGAATGGCAGCTTTGGGTAAAAGCAGAACGTGTTGGACGTGGGTTCCACAATAGGGTAAGTGTTTAACATTATTTTTTTTCATTTTATTTTATTTTAGTTTTGTTTTTTGGTTTTTATTATATAAAGTACATGAATATTTAAAAGTGTTGTATGATATTGTGTGTGTATTTTATGATTAAGTATTTGCGTATGTATATATATGTATATGATATTGAAACGTGGTGTTATTTAATTGTTGTTCTACAAAATAATCAAGGAACAAATACAAATTTTTGTTTTTTTTTGTTAATTTAAAATGCCATTCTGGTAAAAATAATTTTTTAGGAATGAAAATTTTAAATTTAAGCAGATTTTGTTTCTTTATTGTAAAACGAACTTGTATATTAATTAATTATTTTCATATTGTGATTTCATGAATTTCTATAAATTCTGCTTTAATAAATTCTATAAATATTGCTATTAAAGATATTAAAATTCTTGAAAATTTAATTTGAATGAATGAAAACTTTTATGATATTCCAAAAGTACCTATTTTAGCAAAACACTCTCGCAAATTTCTTATAAGAACATCTTGGGTTTTCCAAATTTTTTTAATTTTTATTAGAAAGTAGAACAAATTTCTTCCTCTTTTCATGTTATTTCAATAGAAATAGAATATAATTCAATAGAAACTATAGAAATTAAACCGTGCAGATTCGAAATTTTCAACAATTTTTTCTAAAAATGATAAAAATTCATTTCTACCAATAACAATTAAATATCAAAAAATTTTTATAATTGAATAGGAATATTCATAAAAAATAATTTTCAATTTTCAATTTATTTTATTATAAATGTTATATAAAATTAAAATTAATTTTGTTATAAGTTATATTATAATTTTGAATAGAAAATCAATTATGGTTATAAACTAGAAATGAATGAGAATAAGTTGTGACATAATATGCGGTTTTTAATGTCACGAACCAATGAATTTGATTGGACCAATTCATTTATTTATGTATAATATTGTGTAAGTAAATTTTTGGAAAATTCAATACATTATTAAATTTAGTACTATTAAAATTGCATGTTGTTTCAATTTTCAATTGCAAAAATTGCTTGTTGTATTTCAATTTTCGGTATACAAATGCCATTATATTTGTCATTTTCAGAAATATTCATTTAATTTTTGTGTGTGTTTTAAAACAAATTTTACAATTATTGTAATTTTTAATTATAGCCTTCATTCATTATTTTTTGAATTAAAACTTCTGAATAATAAATTGTATAACAATAATTAAGAACAAATTTATTATTTTAAACCGCAAAATTAGTTTTAGTCATTTAGTGAATTAAATTTAATTAGCGACTGTGATACAAAAAATGGAGACAAAATTGATTTTAGCGTCAAAATTTTTGCAATTATGCTGCTGAATTTCTAGTTTTTGGTTTTCTGAATGGTTCAAAGGAAGAAGATCCATTCTAAAGACATTTTCTTTTGAAATATCATTTTTTGATTTCCCATATTATAGTCTATATATTAAAAATTGTAAGATTATGAAAATGTCAAAAATGAAAGATTATGTCAAAAATTTAAGACAATTTTCAATTGGATTTTATGGAAAATTTATGGAAAAAATGCCTCACTTTCAAAGTTTTAATATACGGGAAATTTCATATAAAAATTCTGCATAAATTTCAGAAAAAATGTTAAATATATTTTCCAGAAGTTGTAAATGAAATGAAATTCCAAATGAAAATTGTTTTAGACTTTCCATTAGCCAAAAATTCTTTGGTATGTCAACAATCAGAGTTTAAAATGCAAAATTAGTCAATTTGGTGTGATAACTTTGTTTCTTGTTTCATATTTAATGTGCACTTAATGGAATGTCATATTTCTTTCCCAGCTTTATTATTAATTTGTTGTTATCCATTATTAATTACTGGTTTACATAGATAATATATAATTAATTTATGGAATATTTCTTGAATTTATTGACCGCATAAATTAAAAGCTTTTTTTTTTGTATTTTTGAAAAATTAAATTTCCCATTTGTTTGAAAACAAAAGACAAAAACACTATAAATTTAAAATAATATGAAACATGAAAAAAAGACAAAATGATAAAAACTGAAAAAAATTATTTTTGAGTGGCGACTTCCTACCGCACTCTGTTCCACATTTTATTCAATCGAATATAATTTATTAAGTTGTCTATTTTGGCTTGTTTTTATATGAGTGCACTAAAAAAATACAAACCATACAAATTTACGAATAAAATGAAGACAACAAAAAAAAAGTAATTTAAAAATTTTTTTGCATCCACTTTACACTTTTTATTTTTGTATGCATGTATTTATTCTTTTTGATAATCACTGAAAAATCAATTTAATCAATTTTGTTTTTTCGTCTTTTTTTGGTTCATTTTTTTTGCATTAAATACAATTTAATTTACTCTTATAAATAATTCAATTTACACGTTATGTTGCACTTTTGAACACACCTTTTCAAAGCTCGACATAAATTCCAAAAATTTTTTGTGTAAAAATTGTAAAAGAATGAATTTAGTTAGTAAAAATTTTGTAATATCTTAATTGCAATGCCATAATAGAAGAGCTAAAAAGAAAACAAAACCAAAAAAACTAAAAGATGAATTGCTTTGAGTTAACGCGAATTTTCAATTTCCTGTCTTCTTAAACTTATTTTTTATTTAGTTAGTCATAACAAAATAAAGTTATTTACAGTGTACTGTGAATTAAAGAAAATTGGTAAAGAACAAAAAAGTGCAATATTTTTAATTTCCTTCCACATTTTTTGTATATATTGCAATTTTGTATATTAAAATTCTGAAAATGCAAAAAATTAACAGGAAGTTTAAACAAGATTTTCTAGTTGCTTTAAAATACTAAATATTTGTTGTAATATTTGTTATATGCAATAATATAGTGGAATAATTTAGTAAAAAATGTGAAACATTTTTAGAAATATTGCATAAATTTAGGGGCTTTATAGAATATATTATGAGCATTTAATAAAATTAAAAGCGCCGAAATCTAATCATAATTAAATTTCAAAAAATTGTGAATAAATTGTAAAATCTGTTATACTAGCTAATAAAAAATGTTTTTTTTTTTCATTTAATCAACTATCATGTGAACTAGTTCTCATTGCACAATTCTCATTCATTTTTGAATGGTGAATAAAACATTAGTGTAACTGTTAACAAAAAATTAATTTAAAACCTTTCTAACTATTAAATGGTAGAAAAATATTATTTCTAAAATGTTAATAACAAGACTCAAACAACTTTTAATATTGTGTCTGTGCAGTTATATTGTACACAATTACCCTTTTATTTACTGTCCATATTGTATCATATAAAAAAATATTATTCACTATCATACAATATGGACAATTTGACATACATAAACACAATTTAAATGTAATTAAATCAATCGAGTTTTACAGTAGAAATACTTAAATAATAACAGTATATTCAAATAATTATGCATAATTATATGTATATTCATATATATACAAATTCATTTATTATATTCTGAGACATTTATCTACTACGGTACACTAACCAATATTTCATTTAACAATGCTTTGTACATGTAAGTAACAAGAAAAGAAAAAAAAAAACAAAAATTTATATAGTAAATCAACTATTAAAATGCTGTCTGCTATTTTTTGCGAGTATATCGCTTTATTATTGCAACATAGAAAAATCACAAACAAAAAAAAAATGTGTAGAAAAAGAAAAGTAAAAGAAAAGAAAATAAAAGTGAATTATCAACTTTTCGCTTGAATTACGTAACAGCAATTTGAAATGATCGATTCGATTACTTTATAACATTGGTTTCTGGTTATATGCTATACTCATTCCTATACACTTACTAACTCGATTTTCTTCTCGATTTCTGTATTTTCTTCTGTATCAATTTATTTAATTTTGATATTTGTATGTAGTAACATACTGACTGTATAAAAGTTGTTTAACATAAATTAAATTGCAATGGGGCAAAAAAAAAAAAAATACAAAATAGAAACAGTAATAGAAAAGAAGAGGTGAGAAAAGAAAAACAGGAAGAATTTATGGAAAAATTAATGGAGGACGAAAAGAGAGGGAAGCATTAAGAGAAAAAAGTATATAATCAATTGTAAGATTGAAAAATAAATAGTAAATAAACGAACTAAGATGGAAAGTGATAGGTACAAGGAGAACCAAAAAGAGAGAGAGAGAGAGATTAATATTTTATTTTTATTATTTTATTGTGTTTTTTTTTGATTACTCATATTATCTGTACATATTGAAAATGTAGATCAACGGGTTTTTATGATTTTCTTCTCTATTTAATTTTTTCTACAAATAGTGCCATGCCACTAATGATATTAAAATAATATTATAAAAACTATATAACAATATATAAGATAATAAATAAAATAAAAATGACATATGTCCAAAATATTCTTATATTGTACACAATTATATTATATTAACACTCATATAAGTAAGTATACACTCAAAGAAATTTTACTCAATTTCAATCATAATTTACATGATGCTTATGCCACACTACTCTATAATGCGCTGATGTGATAGGAAAATTACCAATTTTTTTAGTTATTTACAAAATTTCTAATAAAATTTATTCTATTTCTAATAAAATTCTATTAATATTTTTAAATTCTTTTTTGGAATATATATTAAAAATAGAATAATATAAAAAATTTCACTTGAATCTTATTCAATGTCACAAGATCAAATTATCTATTATATTATTAAATTAATTGTAGCGCGTAGTAAAGTAATCATTCAATTTTACTCATAAATAATTTTGAGTGTATCTCTTGAGTGTATTATATTTATATATATTTATTACTGATATAATTTTTTAAAATTACATAGAGGTAGTGTAAAAAAGAAGCTATACTCTAATTATTTGTAGTCCAATTCATGAATGTATGTAAGTAAATCTGAAAAACTAGATATATAACAGAGAGTATAACATAAAAAAAAATTAAAAAAAAAAAAATAATTAACCATTTAACTTTGTAATTTTCTTTTT